TAATATATATTAATGCTGCCCACACAATATCCCATAAATGGCATGCGTCACAATGTTTAATAGATGCGAGAGGCCTCTTGCCAGCCTATGGACATGAACCTAACACCAAGGATGGACATTGAACCTAATATAGCATATTTGCCGAACCCCAGCACTGCATACGCTACATGCCATTGTGCCGTTTCCCAAAGAAGAAGGATGCTTTCAGCAGCTGTCTGGCATTGCTACTGGGCAGGCACCCAATGGAGCCCTGCCAGCTCTGTTGGTTCTGGTGCATCAAACAGTCAAGAACTCTGTGCAGTTTGATTCTTCAGACATAAGCCTATGGCTTCAATATGATGCCTTTTCTGATTGCATGCCACTGCACAATCAGATTATTAACACAATACTGTTTTATCACATGATATTGCTTTATATATGTCTACAATATGATGTTTTCCCTAATTGAACGCTACTGCATGATTGGGTTATTAACAGAATACCACCTCATCACATGGTATCACTTTATATGAGTGCCTGTAGCATGTTCTTCCTGATCATGCGCCACTGCATGATTGGGTTATTAACACAATACTGTTTCATTACACAGTATTACTTTATATGAGTGTCTACAATACAATGTGTTTCCTGATTGCGCGCTGCTGCATGATTGGGTTATTAACACAATGCTGTTTCATCATATAGTATTGCTTGATATCAGTGTCTACAATATGATGTTTTTCCTGATCGCGCGCCGCTGCACGATCGGGTTTTTAACATAATACTGCTTCATCACATGGTATTGCTTCATATCAGTGTTTACAATATGATGTTTTTCCTGATCGCGCGCCGCTGCACGATCGGGTTTTTAACACAATACTGTTTCATTACATGGTATTGCTACATATCAGTGTCTACAATATGATGTTTTTCCTGATCGTGCGCCGCTGCACGATCAGGTTTTTAACACAATACTGTTTCATTACATGGTATTGCTTCATATGAGTATTTACAACATGATGTCTTTCCTGATCGCATGCCACTGCGCGATCGGGTATTTTTCTTGTTAGTCACTGAATATTGCCATTTGACAGTATTTACATCTGAAAGTGCTCTCCAGAGTGCATTTTACTTTTTTCACAGTGCTTGCAGATTTTTAATCACACAACCCACATTTTAACCACCAACCCCCCTCTAAAAGAAGAGTAGAATCGGGTGTTTGACAGGACATGACATACGCACCCGATTGCGCATCCATGCACAATCGGGTGTGTGGCACGACATGATGTACGTACCCGATTGTGAACCCATGCACAATCGGGTGTTCGAAGCGACATGATGTACGCACCCGATTGCGCATCCATGCACAATCGGGTGAATGCACAATATGCACAATTGAGTGAGCGACATTGGCTGACAATGCACCCGATTAGGCGCTAGCGTATAATTAGAACAGACAACCTTGTGCAAGGTAATCATAGCAGAGAGCAATATCGGAGGACGGGTAACATCAATAAATAACACTTACACAAGGTTTGTTATCCCAGATAAATCATTCATAGTCGATAGGTTGGCGTTCCATGTATCGCTAGGCTCAACGGTAACGTCGGAGACGCCGTGCTTGTGCATTATAAACGCGAGGAAGACGACTGTTCGACAGTAGTTGGCAAATGACAAACGAGGGTCGCCGGATATTGTACCAGGTGCTGCGTATTCGAAGTTATCCTCGTCGAGGAAGAACTGCTTGGGTGCAAGCGCAAGCCACACATCATCATCTCTAGCCGTACCGAGATATAGCAGAGAGCCTTCGGCGTTGTACCCGAGTCGTGCATGCTTCGCCTTGAATTTACGGTGCCAGCAGTTTGCAACCAGCTTCCAGGTGAAAGATAAGTCGCAATTAGTGTTAGGCAGTAGCGCTTCAAGACTTGGGTCTCGAGGGACACAAAGAAGAAAGTCCAGAGTCCCGTTGCTAGCGTTAAGAGCAACGTTGCTATCGGTGGCCGCTAGAGTGTACCTATCATCGAGATCGACTCGGTGACGGCTCTGTATTAATGCGAGCTGGCGATTGACGTTGCCGGAGTTGTAGATGCTCTTGAGTTCAGACAGTCGAATCCTTTTGACCGGCGCATGGTGGAACTGAGCTTCATCTCTGTCTCTGCGGAATTGTAGGACATGTCGATATACTTCGCCTTGAGAGACTCCGTCGTCGGATAAGAAGGCCATAGGCGGTACGCCGATATCGACCTCGACTTCATTGGTTTCTCTGGAATCTCTGTTCGAAGGAAGTTGGAGGAGAAGAAAAGTTTGCATGAGTGGATTGAATTTGTAAGGTGGAATAGAAGCGCACTGGTCGTCTAAAATTTGCTCTACTGGTAGAAGAGGAGGTTCAGCAGGCTGATCAGCCTCTAGAGTCAAGTTTTGGTGGTTCGTATTGCTGGTACGGGTGCGACGCATCTTGATGAACGATGTGGGACGAGCCAAAAAGTACGAGGTGAGGTTGAACTAGTGCGGAGAGAATCGGATGGTTCGGATGCGGTTCTTCTGGAATGTGATGCAAACATATGCATTGCATGTAAGCGATCAGTGATTAGTTGCTTTATTCAGGCAAAATCGGTGAACAATTTGTATAACCGTAAGGTCAGAGCCTCAGAGGTTAAGGGATTGAGGACTTACTAAGCGGGGCAGCTATGATAGCTTGAGTGAGTATTGAGACTGAGGAGGGTAAAAAAATGAACTACTGTCAGCGAAATAAATAATAATGAGCTACTATCAGCAAAATAATGGGTTGCAGAAAGGGGGTTTGCGATTCGATCTAAATTCAAATCAATCAATCAACTTTCCTGAAAACCCCAGGGGTCTGGGTTTCGGGGTCTTCAAGCATTGTCCTACATGTGGTAATTTCATCAAAGAAGCCTGTTCGCTATGGAGCCCGACGTGTCTGGCTCCCCATCCGAGTTGTCGTGCTCGTGGTCAGGATGCCTAGGTGGTCCGTTGACTGGATAGTATAATGTCATGGTCAGCAATGCCCGCCACAATCTGTCTCACTTGCACAGTCCGTTCATGTGATATGCGGGCCCGGCTTGGGCTTGTGGCAATGTCAAGCCGAGTCCTGAGCCCGACCCGACCCAAGCCCGGCCCACATCAGGAAAATCTCCGGGTGTTGGAGGCATTTTGAATTAGATAAAATGCCTTAGTCTGCCTTAGGCGTTGTTGAGACCTGTCTTGGAGGTGTTACCCAACAGCATCAAGGCACCCAGAGCATGTCGGTCCGATCCCAAGACGCACAAGTGACGTCAAGACGTTTGGACATTTTCCTGATGGCCAAGCCTTGGGCTTAAGCTCGGGCTTGCCGAACATAGGACAAGTTAAAGCAAACTACAAAAAGTGAGTATATTTGCATGTGATAGGTTACTACTGCATTCACTCACCGAAATAATACAGTCTCTGGAGGGCATGCGGTGGTGCTACAAGCTAGGCGGTAACTCACAAGGTCCGCAAATGAGCGCCTATGGCGAATGCCAGGTGGCGACGCACAGTCGTGTATCACAGTCTGCGATGGACAAAAATGGAAACTCGCAATGAAAATCTGGTTCTCGCTGCGCATGATTGACAGCAAGTGAGGGTGGATTCACTTACTATACTGTACTTTTACGACCATACCGGATGAAAGTGCCCAAAATGAGTTTTTCCGACAACTCGCCAAAACCGCCATAAATCGAGAGAATATTATTGGCGGTGTCCGCGGAAAAGCGGTGTGACGTGTGACATCCGGTACGGTCGTAAAAGTACAGTAGTATTGCGTTCACAGCTGTGCGCATTAGCACAATTTGGTGCGTTAACGCACATGGTGATGCACAGCTGCGCACAAAATTGCATGTACGCGCACTATCATTCCCGTCAAACTCGTTATCATCCCCATCAAACCCGCTATCGCCCATGTCAAACTCGTTGGGCGGCTATGACGGCAGTGCGCAAGTTTATTACAAAGTGCACCTTTGTGCACACTGGTGCAAAATGTTGACAATCGCACAGCTAACTCGGATGATATATGCTCATCTAGAAAGCCTTTGCCAGTGGGACACCAATGCGCACGAAAGTGCACGTACGTGTACTTCGACCCGTACGGTAGCGCTGATGCGAGTTCGAGATTTTCGCCGCCGCCCAGTTCCAGTTTGGCGACGTTGCACTTTAGTTCGCGCCCGTGCATGCGCGTGCACGTACGTTCACGTCTGTGCATCTGCGTGCATTTTTAGGCACTCTCAGGCAATGTGTTGCATGGGCGCTCACCTCTCAGATGAAAACGAGTTTTTGCATGTTTCTAGTTTACGACATGCTGATTTTTGTCCATGCCCAACCTTCATAGTCGTGCTTGGTAGAGATATAGACCGCCCCGTCTGGCAAGTCAAAATTTTGTCTTGTATGTGCAAATAAACCTGTTCTTACCATGTTTTAAACACAGGGAATAGCGGCACAGTTGGTGCATCCAAGCCTGGGCTTTCGGGCCGGGCTCAGGCTTGACTTCGCCTCGAGCCCAGCCTCGAGTCCGCTGCCAGTAGTGATTTGACTGGCTCGGCTTGGCCCAGAAGTCGGTGGCTTTGGCTTAGCTTTGCTAGGCTTAGGCTTGTGAAAACCCAACCCGAGCCGCAAGCCGCCGCAAGCCAGAAGCCAGTGGCTCGGCTTTGGCTTGGGCCACGGCTTGCGTCCCAATTAGGCAAGTGCTGTGGATTGACCTTGTCAACGGTTCCACAGCTGCCATAGTATCGTCCCCAGCCATTCTAGCTCACCCGGAATACTCCGGGCGGACCGCCTGGTGGACTTCGAAAAACCGAAGTTCGGTCCTGACCTATAAGCTGCAACGGCGAGTTTGTTCGTGCCTTGGGAATTAGACTCATAGGCGCCGGCTGGCACATTAGCGCAAGCTCGGGTGCAATGGCTGATAGTCACGTGACTTTTCAGCGTGCACGGTTCGGTCCATAACTCGTGGATATTGCGATTCCCCCTGGAATCGGTATCTTGGATTCGAGGTGGCAGGATAGGAGGTTGGACAGGAGCCTAATAGACGCGCGCCCTTTGGCGCCCTGCTTTGCCGCGCCGCGTGCGCAGGTGGCGCTGCCCACCCAGCCAACTGGAGGTTGGCGGTGGGCGGCGCAAGCTTGCGCACGATATGCTTTGAGACCTGGTGCATAAATTGCAATGTTGTTTTATGTTGTAATCTCGCCTGCAAAAGCACTGTAGAGCTAACGACGATGTGGATAAATGGCATTACAGTGCTATGTACAGCAGTCTGCGGCAGGTTTGGCTGTCCCAAATACTTCTCGCTTATGTATCTTCTCCTTGGGAGAGGGGGGGGGATCGCACCTCGGGCGAGCGCTGAGCTCGCCATCACCGAATACGTGGGCGTCAAGCGCCCATTGCTGATTCCCCTGCATAGTGTCGTTCAGGACAATCATAGCACTTAAAATGAATATGACCTCATATTTGCAATGGTGAATAGTCATACATGGTCTGGTACAGGGTACAGGTACACGCAGCTGCGAAATGTCCAACGCTCGGGTGCCGTAGGCCGGGTGCAGTAGACAGGTTGATTCTCCAGCATCGTAGCTGGAGAGTGGTAGTTCCGTAAGTATTAACATATACAGAGGGTCGTTATGCACACCGTCGCTACCAAACAATAAGGAGGCCAGTGTACCATTCGATTGGGGTCGCGAAGGCGAACAGGTCGCATTTTGCGGACAGTCTCCGCACTGGCTGGGGCATGGGTTGTGCAAGCGAGTGGTGCTGCAATAGGTGTTTTTGTGACACGGCGCAGCGCAGGCCCAAATCACTGTCCATGAGCGAGGCACGGCACAGGCCCAGGGCTAGCGGAAGGCAGCAGCCAATTACCATGTGCGTAATGTCACAACAAAAACAAGAGCTGCACTTACTGCTTTTCGCTCGCTGATGGTGGATACAGTAGAGCGGACAGAAGGCGTTGGCCTTTTGCTGTAGGTGTTCAACTTCGTGAGCGCTTTGCTGTCCTCGGCCCTAGCCCATTTCTCCCTGCCTTCACTGCTCTGGTTGTGGCTCTGGTCTTGGCCCTGTGATGGAAGCAGAAGCGATTAGAAAAGCAAGGTAAAATATGGCATGGGGACACTCACTAGCTATGCAAAGCACGGCGCGCTGCACACCTCCCCAGAAAAAGGGAGTGGTGGATGAGTGCACGGCAGCAGGTCGCCGCCGAGTTGAGGGTTGCCGGCGACAACCAGTAGGCCGGGTGCAGTAGACAGACTGGTGAAGCCGTGCCGCTTTCAGACGTTCAGAAGCGCCCCAGGGACTGGATGACTTCCCTGCCACATAACTAGAAAGGGGTAATTTTGTAAGCATCAGATTTTGTACAGAAATGTTCTATGCACCTTCGAGAGCCATAAAATGAAGGAATTTCACGACACTCACGGGTTGCGAGTGAGTAACAGCGAGTTTGTTCGTGCCTTGGGAACTGCACACATAGGCGCCGGAACGCGTGAACAAAATGATTATATTTACGACGGTTGATAGGATGGGTGCAGTGGGCCAGGAGCAGTAGGTGGCCGGAAGCTTTGCTTACGAAGCCGTGCCGCTTTCAGACGACCAGAAGCGCTCCAGGGAGTGGATGACTTTTCAGCAGCATAGTTGGTAAGGGGCGATTTTGTAAGCATTAAATTACGTACGGACATGTTCAATGCACCTTCAAGAGCAATAAATCTTTTAAATTTCGCGACGCTCGTGGGTTTCGAGTGAGCAACGGCGAGTTTGCTCGTGCCTTGGGAATTACTCATAGACGCCGGCTGGCACATTATTAGCGCAAGCAATGGCTGATTGTCACGTGACTTTTGGGCGTGCACGGTTTGGTCCATAACCCGATTCTAGGGGAATTGGAATCCCAATAACGCCGAGCCGCGTCCAACACCACGTGCACGTCAAGGTGGGACAACCCATTTTGTAGGGAATCGATATTTCATCCAATCCATGGCCTATTGCTAATTATTGTGTGAAGTTGGTAGAGAGAATGGCACAACTTACCAGGTTCGTAACATTCGAGTTGTGGTGGAGATACGAGGGGAAATCCATTGCTTTGTTTAACGTAGTGTTCGGTCCCCCCTTATATGCTCAGCAGTTCGCGCTCGCGGACACGATTGCATTGCTTGTATGATCACGATCAACGGGACTCAGCGGATAACTAAACAAACAGATCTGCGATACTGACTGTACGCAAAAGGAGCCAAGTTAGGTGGTTCCGCGACACACGAGAGCGGCGTAGGCCTTCAACCGTTTGCTGTGAAATCCATACAATTCGCGATCACCGTTCGACACATATATTACAATGAAAGGGCAGACAAATTGGGAAGTATCTGTACGTCGACGCTCCCCCCTGCATCATTACATTGTCCGGGCACTTGAACGTCCAGCAGATCGCGATGGGTGTACGAGAACCCCAGAAGCGCTTGAGAACGCGGAAAAGCCGCGCGGCAACATTGGGTAGACCAGCCTTGGTACTCAAAAACATATGCCAGGCAGAATATGTCCCCGAAGGATTGCGCGTGTTGGTCACAAAGGCTCTATGGAGGGTAATTGTACGGGCTATGGGCATCACTAGATGAGGTGTACGATCCAGCGAAAGGTTGCTAGCCACGGCTGGCGTACTTCGCAATCGCTCGTAAATCGTGAGGCTGTAAATCGCGATGCGTTTGCATGTTAAGGCGCTGGAAGAATGCGGTGGGATAAGCGAGGCAAAACCCATCTGCGGTGATGTAATTCATGACGATCGTCGAATGAAACATTATCAAGGGTGCAATCGCGGACACTGTTTTGCTGCACATAACATCGAAATTGCCGTGCGGAGTGCTGAACTTTCGTGTTTAATGAGCTCGGGAGCGCAATGCGTGTAGCACTTCGGTGTATTATCATCGTCTGTGTAATGTCCTGCGAACCGCGCAACTTCCTTCCCCCTGAGCTTGTTTGTGACAAACGCGCAAGACGCCTCGACACCACTCGAAGTCGTGTACCAATCCCAATCTCCGCAAACAAAATGCACGTCGCAGTACAGGAACCGCACACAGCGACTGCCGGAAAGAATAGTATCGGTGTCTCGCATTGCTTGGCGGATTTCCGCCACATCGTCGAGCTGGCGCAATGTCTCATACCACATTCGCGCAAAGGTGGTTTCGGCCATGGTGCATCTTTGTACGGAGTAGAGTGCCAAGCCGAGAAGCTTCAACACGCTCCAGGTGTTCAGGCGTGCAACTTGCTCGGCAGTGGGAAGACTGTCTTGGCGTTAAAGTCATATGCAAACAACCAAGCATAAGAACGTACCGGAGGAAGGAATCCACGTTTTCTGTAGAGTGAAGGGCTAATCGTGCTTGCTCCTCGACAACTTGTGACACTGTTTCGAAAGGCATCGGAGCGAATGTTGAGCCATCTGGGGAAAAAATACGCAAAGTTTTTATACCTTTTCATTTACGCATTTTCCAGGCACGATCTACTCACAAATAGGAGAAGCTCGAGCGGCCCGAACGAATCAGGTACGTTCTTGACGGAAGTAAGTTGATGGGCTCCCCCAGGCTCGCGGCAGTATAATTTGGGATTGTTGAGTGACTCTTGAGCAATTCAAAACCGTCGAGCCATGGTGCGGAAGGTGGTCTGATACGTTTCTTGCCCCACAATGGCGACTGAACCAACGTTGACGGAGTTATCTCAGACACCGTTCCATTTCAATACACAGCAACTGCCGGAACCAAGAGCGACCAAGCCAAAGGAGTACAAAGGCAGATGAGCTTGGTTGACCCACGTAAGCAATGAACTCGATCACGGCGTAAAAATGCGATGTAGAAATACGGTTTGTGGTTTGATTCCGTTGCAATTCCCCAGAAAGGGCGTCTCAGGAGCGTTACGTTTTTTTGTTTTTGGGAGATCAATTCTGCGAACAGCAGACATATAACTGAGCAATGGGCAAATTACAGGGAGCGAACAGAAGGGGAAAAAACCCCACATGGTTTAAAGGGAGGGAGGGAGGGTGAAGAGGAAATTTCGAGTAGCAACGAGTTATGGCTAACAAAACTGGTTTTCGTATGGCAGCACTGTACTCTGCAAGGCTCACCACCCCATACACAGCATACCGTTTGTCCTGCTACCCGTATACCCTTACGCATTTCCATCGTCAACTGTGTCACGTCGGAAAATCGAATAACAGTGCAAAACGAGTCTCGCATGAATCTGGGTGTGCGCGGACAGGAACGGTACGGAGCGCATCGCCCAGTTGACGATCTTTATAGTGCTATCGCGGCCTTGACCACCACGAACCCCGCCCGTTCTAAACAGAACGAGACGCTGCTTTCCACCTCCTGGTAACCTCGGTCTGCGATCACGGAATGTTTCGCCACAAGAAGAAATGGATAGGCGACACAAAACTCGTCAGCACTGATGTAGTTGACTAGAGCGGTGGCTGCCAGATGAGAAATGGGGAGGAGCGGGTTGCTTGAAGCAATTTGAAATGATGTCAAAGGTGGCAAGTTTTGTTTGAATACGACGGCGAGCGAGGACGGACGGACTGTTTGACAAACTGTTTGGGGGTGTGCTTGCAATCATGTCCACACCGTTCTTGTGGCGCACGAGCCAGCTGCAAAATTCGTCGAAACCATGGGCAGCGACAAAGAACTGCCACGGTTGCTCAACGAAATCACTTGCACACCAGAGGCCACAGCGTGAGTAGACCGCATGATGTCTAGCACCCCAGAAGCGTCGCTCGAGATGCCGTCTATCTTATGGTGCCACCGTTCTCAAAGCAACGTAAGGATGTACTCTTGCGAGTCGGCCGCGGTGTTGGCCACTCCCAGCAACCCTAAAACCGAGTGCTTTTGAAGTAAGCGACGCTGATCCTGAGCGGATAGGCTGAGGAAATATAAGCAGCTGCACAGTCCGTTTACGCACCTTGCAAACAGCTTGCGACTTATACGATCGTGAAAGTCAAGGACAGTTTGCGCCTGTAGGTCAGGGTGCATGATGATGTGCATTGTCGTTCGGTGGTGTAAGTAACGGAGGGGTGAAAGCAGACAAAGGTGATGTATTCACTGGCTTTATGAGACAGGCCATGAAGTGCGGAAGACCAAAGGCGTGAACGGAGGAAAATGCAACACGCAGACCGATCACTGAGTCAAGCGCCGATTAGTAAGCATTTGACTATTCGGGCGAGCGTTCGTATACTACCTATCCGCGTTGCGGCGAACTGAGTGCAACTCTCCCACTGCCCACAGCTATGTCACAGCCTGCTTGAAAGTCCTCAACCAGAAGTTATAGCCCGCCCACCCCAATTTTCGTCAGTGAGAGGTTACAGACATGTGCCTAGTATCGATAGAAATTAAACCAATGTGCTTAAGGTGTGTTGCATCACATTGTCGTTTGGTGTCCTCAATCAGCTCCTTGTAGAAGAGTTTGCTCGAGATACGCCGTAAAATTTTGAAAAAAGGCTGGAAGTGGAAACAGCAGGGCACTGAGAGACAGTCGCAGGCGCTAGTGAAGGTATGCAGTAGTCCATTCCACGGTTCGTGGTGCCTCCGTGTTGAGTTTACTCATCCAGTCCAATAGGCTAAGGAAGATTGCCCTTTTTTAATGCGTTTTGAAGATGCTTGGCCTGCTGAAGCTCTCCTCCGAATTGGATTGTCGTCAAACGGAGGGCCAAAATCAAAGGCCCAAGAAGCTGTCACCACCGACGACGAAAACGGGAACGAGCAAGGACACGTGACACGCGGGAATATTGCAAACTTGGGAAAACGCGCTCGTAGCGCAAGTGATGCCAAGTGCGAGGTGCGCCACCACGTAGTTCCTTTTCACGTCTTTTCACGCAGTCGGGGGATCAGGAACCACCGCGCAAAACCACGAGGAAGCCTCGAAACACAGACGTGGTTCGGCGCGGTCGCTTGTCTGAAAATGAAGATGAGGATGGCAGTTTGGAAGAGGTGCGCAATCGTGCATGTTTGCAAAAACATCTCCATATCTCTTTTGTCAACTAGGACGAGGACGAAAACAACGAACTTTTAAGCGAGAAGGCCCAAGACGCGTCCGTGCGCCATAGGACGCCACCACTGCTTACTCCGGTCACGACGCCAGTTGCACCTACTGTCAAGAGTAGTGCCAGCATCACGCACAAACCTATCCCTCAGGTTGTCGTTTCGTCTCAATTTGCCCACATGGCGTGCTAATCTTTTTTATGCCTGTTTATTACCAGATTGTCATAACCGGCAATGCAACCCGACGCACAATAAATACAATAAATCAAGTTCCTCGCAGGCCCACTACGCACCAAACCTTAAGAGTAAGTATGGTTTTTGTATTCGTCATTTGAGCAGTTCGCTCACATGAAACCTACTCTCCTCTCTGGTTATAAACGTGATCGCATTCAGGTGGCTCACTCGAGCGTTCCGGTTGACCCGCTCGCCAGACGTAAAGACGGCCGCCCGAGTCCCTCAGCCATGGCTGAAGAATCCACTACTCGCAACGATGAAACATTGAGTACCTCATTTCCGCACGTCGTGTCACGAGAAAGCGAGCAGAGGGAGGCTTCAACTCAACAGTTCGCTCAACGTGAAGTGGAACAGTCGACTGCTCTTGCTCAGCAGCTCGTCACGTCCAATTACCCACAGCCAACTACTCCACCTACGCAGTCTATCTCGCGTGAGAACCAGCCGGTTCCAGGACTCGAAGGGCAGAATGTCACTATCATCGGACAATTTTTGCGTTCCCTCATGCCACGGATGGAAGTGCATACTAATCGCGTAATGCACGCTGGCTTGGTCGACCGCGAAACGTTTACAGCGTTCCGTGGCCTTTCCAAAACCGGTCAAATGAGAATACTCACCTGCGATATGCAGCTTAATCCCCTGGAGGCATCACTCTTCCACGAGGCGGTTATTGGTGAAGCGTTCATGTCTCGTTTCGCTGCATGTCTTTCGTAAAGTGCACTACGTTGGAGCCTCAAGCTTCATCATTCGCTGCATGCAAAATTGTAACATCTGTACGCTCGTTGTATTATGTGAAATGTATGCATTATAAGCGCATGGTAGCCCCGTAAACAATCCTTACTGAAAACGTGTAACCTCTCGGTCAACTTGCACATAATGTAATGGTTTTGCTATATATCTAGTGGTGCTCCATGTGTGAAAACCCTGGAACGGTCGACTAATCAGCGGGGCTATCTACATTGTGGTTCAAACCCAGTTAACTGTTGTGCGGAGTGGTCCAAAATGCTACAGGACCAATAGCTGAAGGTCCGGACCACTCAAGACAGGAAGACTCTGGTCTGGTGCTCCTTGTAGTCCAGAGGGTCCAGTAGGCTCAGGACCATTGTGAAATTTCCCTGATGGTGGAAAGAGAAGGCAAAGAGAATCGGAGGTGATTGAAAAACCCCCTGCATCATCGTTTCGTCGTGAGCGGCACAGAACAGCACAGCTCCGAGCAGTTGGTATACGCACTCATCTCGGTCCTTCAGGGCCATTCCATCCCCACCACCAGAATGGCTGATTTTTATCATTCTCGTGGCAAAGGGATAGCTTGATTTGCTCTGTGATGGCACTTGCACTGTGGTCCGCACCTATTGCCTTCAGGTTTATGGCCATTCTGGGCAACAGAATCGCCATCGTTTGAAGCGCACTCAATGACTCATCGCAGTCGCTTGAGAAGCTACAACAACCATGTCATTTTGAAGACATGGTTAGCACTGATGACGATATGCACCAACTTTAGTTTGTGTATGTGTGTATTTCACTGCTTAGCCCTAGCTTCAGATTAACTGCTCTGTTTTATACATAGCCAGTCTTTTTAAAGCTTTTTAGTCTACTTAATGTTTGTGTAATTTGTATTGTGGTGAGTTCTCAGTCTAGTTTTGAAAGCCTTCTAAGCTGTTTAGTACTTATGAGATATATGTGACAATGAGTTCCTCTTAGCACAAATCCCAAAGAACAGCAACAGAGCTGGTGCATGCAAATTTCAGCTTGTAAGCCAATTTTAGACTTGATTTGGGCCAAATTATTCAAGCCTGGTTTTTGCAGCTTGCAGACTTTCATATGCACTTTGAGCTTCAACATACATACTATTATACTAAAGATAAAGTTGCATTCTATATTTATCACATATTGGGGTTGCATTAATAAAGGCAGTGTTATTATAAGCAAAAGATTTGCACTAAATTGGTGCAAGTGGCAAGGAGGAGTTTTATGATATAGCAAAAAATGGAAAAATTATACCCACCAAGCATCTGTGCTCTGGCCCACATCATTCTAATACATAAAATATAAAAGGCTACGAAAATTGAGCAAGTTTTACTTTAAAGTGTAAAATAAACTCCAACCCAAGTTTGATGGACTAGTGTAGTGTCAATACACTTTATGTCCCCACACCTTTGGCAAAGTTCCATGAAAGTGCTGAAAAGCTCTCAAGGTGCCAATCCGAACAGGACGATTTTTCATTACATTTAAAAATTGTAAATGACTTTGCAGAACCTTTAAGCATACGGTGGATGCCTCGTACAAGACATTATAAATGCCAAGGTATAGATAGCAAGCAATACAGCTCTCAAAACATACAAGAGATATTGCCAAAATGACACTATCATGCTGAAAGGGCAAGCTTTGTCCAAAAATGCATCAAGTGCAAGGCTTTTCAAGCCAAGCCCCTCAAAAAAAAAGAATACCTATGCAAGGCTGCCATTAAGAAAGGTCTGTCATTACTCTGCACCACAACTTGGCAGCATGCTTACAGGTACTTTGCAGGCAGTCATGCTTTATCACTACAGACGGTGAATTATTTTGCTAGTGGATTGCAAAGAACATGGAAGCAGTGCTTACAAGGTTCACAAGTGCACAATCGGGTATGTCAGTGTTAATTTTCCTGTGTTACTATTACCCAGCTTCATTACATGTTCCTATTTCCAAGTTGTGCATGTCATAAGGCACCCTCTAACCCGGAAAGGACCCCTGTTGAGAGGGTATAAATTTGTTTAACAAGCTTGCTGATGAATAATAGCTTCTGTACAATTAAGCGGAATTACTCTATTGTCATATAGAGGTGTGTATAAGTGCCTTGAACAACCTCCACCAAGTTTTCTATAATTTGTAGTCATTTGACAGCAGCTTGCGGGAGCTTCACTTGCAGTTGGTTTACCAAGTTTGCTGATGAATAGTAGCTTATGTAAAACTACTCAGAGCTATTATATTGTCACATATAGATGTTTATAAGTGCTCTAAACCACCTCCACCAAGTTGGTTATACTTTGTAGCCATTCAACAGCAGCTTGCTAGGGATCTGCTTGCAACCCAACCGTAGCAAAATTGCTAATCAATTATAGCTTGTATACAACTAAGCGGAGCTATTCTAGGTTGCGGAGGGGCTCAAAATCATGTGAAAAAAGGTCGTTGCGCCGATCAGAAAGAGGAATAAATCAGGGGATGAGGGTGAGAAGAGCGAGAGGTTGTTGGGATAAGCACGGAGAGCCTCATAAATTCAGGTTTGCATGCTGAATAAGTGCTGAATATCTCTGATCTACTACATATCACCAGTTGATCTGAATTATTCTGGTCTGTATATAGTCCAATTATTCAAATTAGGGCAAAATTACATATATTTCTTACTCTACCTGCACAAAGCTGTCACTCATACGCTTCGGGCGATTCATTCGCGTGCTATCCCGGTCGTAGTTTCCATTAGAAGTTCGTACGCGACAACTTCTTTAATGCGCGGGGCCCGGTTCGCAAAGCGGGCACGCTTGAGGCTAAGATAGGGACACTTAGTCCATTACTCAGAGTCAGGGAAAGTCTCTGATATATTTACCTAAGATAGGGACACTTAGTCCGTTTTGCAATACAATCAGTACACTACTTGCAGAGCAGGATACAAGGGTACTAACACTCAGAGTCAGGGAAAGTCTCTGAGTGTGCTACACGAGAGAAATTTGGAACTTTTTGGTTGCAAAAAAATGCAAAAACAGCCTGAAAAAATAAGTAAGAAAATGTTGTATCTTTCCTCTCGGTATCCGGCAGCCCGGCAACTTGACAACCCGGCAGCTGAGCTGATTATTCGCTGGGTGCCGTAACCCCGGGCGCTTTGAAAATGGCCTGGCGGACAATCGGCTCGGCTGCCGGGTTGCCAAGTTGCCGGGCTGCCGGATAATGGGAGGAAAAATATGGCATTTTCTTCCTTATTTTTTCAGGATGTTTTCGCATATTTTTTGTAACAAAAAAGTTTTAAATTTTTCTCGTGCTACAGGCTGAGCTCGCACATATGAGTCGCAACGGCGGGTGACTAAGCTACGCCGACAATGTCCATAAAAGGAAACGAAACGACGGAAACAAATATGATATGCAAATGTCCATACGCTCATGGAGTGAGCGCGGTCGTGAAACGTCCGATAACTTCGACAGTTTCCGCTCGTGCAGTGAATGCGACACAGGGCTGCTCGAGCTCGAGAATCCATAATTCAAACCTTTGTTCAAGCCTGAGCAGGTTGTACGCACGGACACTTCGCTCATGGTAAGGCTCGTATCGTCTGACAGCATGCTCGAGCTGAGTGAAAATCAGAGAGAGTATTATGGTCCGAGAGAGAGGGAAAGGTGTGCCTACATGCTCATATTCATCTCGCGAGATGAAGAGTTCTCGAGACGATCACTGTGGGGCATGATCAATGATCCGCCATCAGTAGAGCTCATGACCTTGACTATACGCAAGTACTTCGACATTTTCCCATCACCGTCTCATGCGTATCATCTGTTTTCCAGACTGAGTACGGCAAATCCTCGGTGGCAACTACAATATCTACAGGTACTGCCAGCAACTCCATCAGGAAACAGCGTCTTGCTGCGTAGCAGGGGCGTCTACTACCACCAGCCACCGCGTCTGCGCTTGCCGCTTAGTGCATGCGCGAGACTCAGGAGAGCCTGGTAGCACTTAGCAGCTGCTCATATGCACCACCTAACTCTGGCTAATTTCTCGCGCCATAGACTAGATTTGTATGTAAAACATATGCTTACAACATTAGTGAATGAGACTAAATAGTATACAAAATTTTGATTATGACACTTGAAGCTTGAAGTACTGTCCAAAGGTGGTATACTCTTCACTTGCCCAAGTACGGGAATGTCTGCCCTAAATTAACGAATGATGGCACGGCCGATGGTAACAAGCGCCCGAACATCCCTCCTTGTTCCACGTCGCCACCGCGCTGCGTCAGCCTATGTCGGCGGTGTCAGTCAACGGGCAACGCGTCAACGCCATACACGTCCTTGCGTAAGTTATGTTCTTCTGACATATACCATACTCTTCTCATGAGCAGTGAGGTCGCATTGTCACGCGCGGAGCAGGCGCACAAGCCCCAGAGTAGCGAAACAGTGTTTTGCGCACAACCAAGAAGCCCATGAATGATACAACAAGCACTACAGGCCACAAGAGTTAAGGGTGCGATGACCGCGTTGCTGCTAGGATACCCGCAGCTGTTGAGGGCGGCGCAGCCCTTCACCGCTATCTTCCTTTTCTCAACGGAGGATGCGGTGTCTCACAGATTCCAGGCAGCGGTGATCGGTGAGTTCATTATGTCATATAATTTTGATATTGATAAGTTGGGCTCGCATCAGGCAATGGAAGATCCGCTAAATCCACCTCCCACTGCCATACACCTCCACCCCATGTCGTGCATCTCGGGGTATGTCATGTTCTTACACTTACACACCTCCGCAGTGGTCCTGTCTAGCTTTCACGCGAGCACCGGGTGCGCGTTGCGCTCGAACGCACCCTCGAAATCTCCAGCACAAGCACAACCACGAGCGCCTGCAGCTACGCGGGGCATATTGTGAGCCGCCCGCGACGTGCCTCATAGCGAGCCCGTCGCTGCTGCACGGGTATCGCAAGAAGGGCGGTTAACGGGTTGCGCATCCGAGATTACCAGCTGCATGTCCTGCGCTGTTTCCTGCGCTGGATGCATAGCGGTTTTAAGACTTAGGTGAGTGATGCCCCCGCAGATCATATAGTACTATTCTGACTTGCTATACATTATAGATTTACCTCTTGTGTCTATCCCCTACCACAGCAGAATGACTCTAGTGTAGTATACACCAACATGTACTATACAGTTGTGTGCCTAATATATTTCTTCTGTCAATCTATTCCCTGTGAGTGAGTGTGCAAAGCCCGGGAGGCCGTCTGCTGGTATCTACAGGCAGGCTGCGACAGCGCCACGGTGTGCTGCTGAATGTTTGCAGGCTGCCACGGTGTGCTGCCAAACTTATGCAGGCTGCCATGGGTGCTACGGAGACACGGCGGGAGACTACTGGTTGCAGGGTAATAGGGGTCAGTTCCACCGGGCTGCTGGAACTACGGAGCTCACGGGGCGCTTCTGGTCTCAGACTTTTTTTCCTGATATCCCGGCCTATTCTCTACAACAACAGGATTGCGGCGAACAAGACCAAGCACCCAAGGCTTCTGAGACTGAGATCATCTCTCAAGCAACCTTTATGGCAGAGTCTGCCATGAGCAGCCAAGGACGCAAACGCAAACGGCTGCCCGTTGACTTAGATAGTGAGCACAATGCTGATGACGACAGCACCATGCTCGCCCAACCTGATGTCACGCCTGCTTTGAAGCCTACGTTCCCTCCGCCTTCCACTGATGAGCAGCCTTTTGTCGGTGGGTGCCATCACTGCGCAGTGCTACAGGATGATTGATGGTAGTCTAGAGAGCCTCGCTGGACATAATACAGCATTGTAGAAGTAGGGGTAAAACCTTGTGTACCATAGCTGACAGTGGTCTGTGAGCTTGTTGAGTGCATTGGCTGTTGTAACAGCTGAAGTATATGGTGGAGCTTGGTAAATAAGTTTATAGTGGTCGGGGCGCTGCAAATGGCTTGTATTTTACTTGCCAGCAACTCAAGATGACCAACCTGCAACTCACGGTGACCAGTCTGCAATTCACAATGACTGCCCTGCGACTCACTGGAGACTCATTAGCAACTCAACAGAGACTCACTAGCAAATTATCGGAACATTATCAGCGACTCGTCGGAGGGACAAAGTGACCATCCGGCGACTCAAAGTGGCTAACCTGCAACTCACGGTGAGTAGCCTGCGATTCATGGTGGCTGGCCTGCGATTCATGATGACTAACCTGCAACTCAGCGGAGGTTCACGAATGACTCAACAACAGTGTGCGGAAGACTTCTAGCAACATTCTAGCCAACATTCGATAATTTGCGCCAGGATCCAAATTATTTAGACGCTAAAGGACTGTAATAGGTACCCAGAGTGAAGAAATTGGTTTCAAGTGAGCGGAGGACTGCGACTCACCTGCAGTGCACCTTCTGCCTCATTTAGATTGTCTCATGCGATTATTAAAAGCGATTCAGCGACTCAGGGCGGAACATGGCCATGTTCCGGGGGAGTATAACACACACACACACACACACACACTACTCTCTCTCTCTCTCTCTCTCTCTCTCTCTATATATATATATATATATATATATATATATAGGGCTTGGGAATTTGGCTTCAGACGAGAAGACATCATGGCCGTTAACCTCATTTCCTGTGGGCCACTTCTTCAGGGTGTGCTATTAGAAGTTCGTACGCGACGACTTCTTTAATGTGCAGGGCCCGGTTCGCAAAGCAGGCACGATCGAGGCTAAGATAGGGACACTTAGTCCGTTCTGCAATACAATCAGTACACTACTTGCAGAGCAGGATACAAGGATACTCGCACTCAGAGTCAGAAAAAGTCTCTGAGTGTGCTACAGGCTGAGCTCGCACATATGAGTCGCAACGGCGGGTGACTAAGCTATGCCAACAATGTCCATAAAAGGAAACGAAACGACGGAAACAAATATGATACGCAAATTTCCATACGCTCATGGAGTGAGCGCGGCCGTGAAACGTCTGATAACTTCGACACTCCCCCTCAAGCATTTGAGAGCCCGAGCGACGACACCTATCGAGCCCACAGTCTGCTTCAGATTAGAGGTGATGATCTGATGTGATAAGCCCTCAGATCTGAGGTGAAACTGGCTGTTTTGCCTGCCTGTCGAAAGCGACCTCAGGATATTCCGCCCAAGTGACCAGATCAAGAGCCGCCCCGGCACTTCCTGTGCCCCTGACGCCAGCTCCCGCTCCGTCCCTTGCCCGCCCCTTGCCCGCCCCTTGCCCGCCCCTCTCCTTGCCTATTCCAGCGATCCCAGCCCCCGGCAGTCCCTGTGCCCCCACGCCAGCTCTCGTGCCATTTTTCTGGCCTGTTCTGGCGATCCCCGCTCACCTCTAGCCACTCCCTCGAGCGCTTGCCGGCGCTGATATCCCATCAATGGTTCACTTATCGTTGTGGATTGTGTTCTCGGTCCCGTGGCTCCTTCTATGGCTGTATTGGTGTTCTTTTCTCTCGCACACATTCCTGGTAGACATCCTTGAGCAATGGACACATGTATTTTGCTTTGAAATTCAGAAACTCGTTCAGAAATGCTATGACAGGCGTGGGAGATGATGATGAGGAATGGACGCTGTGACAAGAAGCCTGTGGTCACCCTCCGTTCAACTTCTTCTCCCTCTACCATCTGCATCCAGTCACGGCTACGCACGCTTGCGCTTCTGCGCTCTAGCAACACCCTCCGTCTCATTCTCCGAGCTCGATTCAGACTCCTCACCATCTGAAGACCCAGAACCAGGCGCAACTGACTCGGGAGCCTTCTGCTTGCCAGTGGCAGTGTTGTGCGAACCCCGCGGTTTACCGGCATCGCTGCGCTTCTTCCTCTGCTTGGGGGCTTCAACAGTGCCATTGGCTACACCGGCAAGCCAGGCTGCTTTCCTCTGAGAGAGCTCGGCATCAGTGGGACGGATGAAGTGGCAAGTGCCGTTGTTCAAAGCTTGAAGCAGCAGCTCAAGAGTGGTAAGATTGTTGGTCAGGTCATTGGGATTGACGAACGGAAGGTCCTTGGGCCAGCCGACGAGCACAACTCCATAGCGCTGAATAATCTGTGTCTCATAGTTGACGTACTCCATGCCTGCTGAAGTGTTTCCGGTAATATCGGCTGGACGCACGAGAGTCAGTAACTAGGATATAGGTGATAGTAAGCTGGGATTGACCTAGTAAGTCTTTCATCTTATCCCGAATCTGTGCTTTGGTAAATTCAGCCTTGAGCTTGTTTGTCCGCAGAACACCTATCAAGCTGTTAGCCCAAGTGGCCGCATTAGTGCCAGTATGATATTGTGACGCATCTGATACAGAACCGCCAGCAATTGCGAACGCCTCAACCATCGTCCCAATCTGCTTACTGTCCCACCGTTTACGCCAGCCGACGGACAAGAAGCGTTCGAGATCAGCAGAGCTAAACCACCACTGCGGCTCGGTTGCAAAATCTGTGGTGCTACGCACAAGGCAGAAGAAACCCTTCACTCCAATGCGGTTGTCAAGATCAAGGATCTGATCAACCAAAGTCAGTATACTCGATCCGGCTGCTTCAGGCTCGCTCAAGAGCACTCACGATTTCTTCCAAAATTGCAGCGGTATGGGAGAAATCTTGAATCTTTCCCCGCGAGGTGGTACGCCTGACGTGCTTCTTGAATTCGTGCACCAGCTCATAGTCGTAGACGCACTTAGTTTTTTCCTCGTCGCTTAGTGCATGGTACTCCGCAAGGTACTCATCTCAGATTTCCCCCATTGTCAGCAAATGCAAACCCTCCGTAGCACGTTCTACAGGTGAGAAAAGCCATGGTCAGTGACAGTAAACAGGCCACATGATGGTGAATACTCACGCTGGTTCACGTCTCTGCATTTAAAGTGCAGCCATGCGTTATATGAGTCAATCTTGTTTTCGGATAGATGCTTCTTGCTCGCATTGAAGAACTTGTCTTTGAAATATCGGGCGTCCTTGCTTTACTTCTTTCCAAGCTCCCCAGCGTAGTTGTCAGCATACTATACGCGAAGAAGGTGGCAATGTCACCTTGCATCTCGTCATGCCGATCTGCCTGCTCTTTCCTCTTCTTCTTCTTTTCCTCCTTCGACATGTTGCTAACCTTCTTTGCTGCAGAGATACTGAATGCGGCCACGCCCAACGCGACTGTACATAACGCAGCTTTGCCGAATACAAACACACTGTATTCCATGTTAACGGCACAAGCTTATCAGCTCTCTAGTGATGTGCGGGCCGGGCCTCAAAGCCCGCGAGCCCGCCAAGCCCGGCCCAAAAAGCCTGACCCAAGCCAAGCCTGGCGGCGGGCTCAAGGCCGGGCTCGGAGCGTAGTCAAGCCCAAGCCCGGCCCGGAAGCCCAGGCTTGGGTGTACCGGCTCTGTTACTGTTCCCTGAGTTCAGGATAAGGTGAGAGAGATCTAAGATGTACACACCAGACATAATATTGATATTTTAGACTCGACGGTTCCCGCCGAGCACGATTGTGCATCACCGTTTGGTGCCTGCCGTAGGCGCGCGCTCGTGGGCTTTGCTGCGACTCGACTTATTCCCCGAGTGTACATCTTCTGGAGGCTGAATTCAGTGAGTACACGCAGTAATAATCTACTACATCCAAATATACTCCCTTTTCATAGCACCAGAATATTCATTGTATTGTGAGCAAGCCCGGGCTTAAGCCTGCGGCTTGGGCCGGGCTCGGGCTCGGCTCGGGCTCAGGGCTCGGCTCGACGCTGCCACAAGCCCAAGCCCGGGCTTTGAGCCCAAGCCGGGCCCGCACATCACTACAGCTCTCTACAGCGTCATCGACAGTGCCCATGACCTCCACCACAACTGTGGCAGATGTCCATCCCACAATTATTGGTGTGCAGCCCAGTGCTTCTATGGACGTCACGTTCGGTATGGCCGTGTTCGTGCTGTGTGGTACGGCTGCCATGTACGTGTTTGGTGCAATTGCATTCGTGTTCATGTCAAGTTGTGGAGTCGCGCTAACATCTGGCACAGTCGCGTTTGGTATGGCCGTGTCCATACTGCGCAGTACAGTCGTGTATGCATTCGTTGCAGTCACGTTCGGGTTTGGTGCGGTTGTGTTCATGTCTTGTGGAGTTGCGCTGACGTCCGGCACAGCTGTGTTTAGGTTCGTGTTCATGTCCGACGTGCTTGCCACGGTCGCCGTTGCCATGACTGTATTCGACGTATGATTGAGCGCGTCGCTGGTGCTCTGGTATGTTGAACTGAATCTATGAGTGGGCGATTCCCAAGCAGCAGGCTGATGAAAATTTTCAGGGGCTGCAAACCTCATTGACATTGCGTTCACAGGGGACAAACATGGGGACAGCGGAAGGAATGGTGACATGGCACCGAGTGAGGCCCAATGTGGAGGAGATGGCGCAAATATGGGTGACAAGATGTGACTGGAAGGTCCGAACGTCGGTGACACAACGCGACTCAGTGGTGAATGCGCAGGAAGCAGCGAAGTGCTGGGGTCATGAGGCTGCGGTACATAGATATCTGTAGAGCTGGGATGTGCTAGTTGAGTACCATAGTATGCGGTGTTGCTGTAGGTATCGTATTCTCTCGGAAACATATTGTTCGTTGATGCTGAGTGCAGTGAGGTTTGCTCGAAATTCGTTTCGTGAGACTGGCTGGCAATTGATGGCAAGACAGCTGCTGTTGGCTGGTAGCCGAACATGTCTGGAGGAAAGTAGAATTGTGGCACCATCTTCAGCAAGCCTGTTGCTCGCCTTCAAAGCACGAATTCTTAGTGAGGTCCTCTGCGACTTTTGCAGATAGCATACTATATGATAGGCGCCTGAGCTTCGCACATGCTGCAGATCTGGGGCCATGTAAGCCCACGCAGTACACAAGTCACCCTCTACTCTAAACTATCACTCTCTTTAAAATGCTCTAGATTAGTATGTTTGCATGTTGCCTTATGTTACAGAGCCAGATGCCTGACACAGGCCATCCATACAATGTCGCTTACCTCAAACCGCTGGCGGAAGCGTTTGGATGGAGCTTTTTCGCACATGCGAGAGGAAAAAAAGAAGTTTTGTAGATGAGACAATCCCTTGGCATGAAGTTTCAATCCTTAAGCACGTTCTGTTTGAGCCACCAAGCCTGGCTGGCTGCCGGAACAAGGTGGTTTCTACTAGTAGCCAGCTAGTCAGATGCTGACACGAACAGAAGGAATAGATTTACCATGTGCTGCAGAAGAGTTTTTTGCAAGTGACTGAACAAAAATGTGTGTGTCCGGAGCTTCGTGGTCGAGAGTTATGTTATAGCAAAGATCCAGAAAGATGCTCTTGTGGTGTACGAGTTCAGCCAAGCTTGCGCCACATGCGACAAATATTCACTGCATGCCGCAATGTATGACCAAGTGTATATCGCTCAACACAAAAGAGCTGCTCCAGTTATGGGAGTAGGTAAAACTTCTATGATATCTTAGAGCCTGGATACTTGTGCATTGTATTCCAGATGCATTTATATACCTGCACGGAAATTGTACACCAGTGACGCCAAGCATTTAAGGTTAACGCATGTACATGATGGCACCAGTGCACGCTGCCAATGTCCAACTCTTCCTTTGGATATTGCTTATACAACAAACTATCGAAGTCATTGCTTGTGGGCGGCGACTAGAACTCTGAGCAGAAGCAATGACCTGTATCATGTCTGGGACACAGTACGACCAAGCCGCAGGCACAGGTCGGCCCCTTGTGCACTTCTCGTTGTGAGTTTTATGTTTGTGCATACACTGATCTGGGTAGGTTTAATTTGCATCTACACTATCATTATTACATGAGACGGCACTAATTAACCTGGTCAATAAACTCAAACAGCTCCTCGACCTGCTCATTGTCAACAGGATCCACACCGTCAAATGCTCCTTGTGTTCCAACGTCCTCACTCATATCAAGCACATTCTGCACAGCAAGTGGGTCACGTCCCGGGATGTTGTCGCCGTCTTCCACTGTGTTCTCCGCGTGTGCATCATTGGTGTCTTCTGATATGGTGACACTGACACCTTCAGCCATCGAGAGAATAACAGCCCATGCTGGTGCCGATACGTCGTGCAAGAGGGTCAGGTCCCGTCCGAGATGTACGCCGGACTCTAATGAGCCTGTGAAGCCGTGCAATGCAGCAATCTGCCGGAGATGTCCTATGATTGCATGGTTTACATGGTCATACTCGACCCAACGGTTAGACAGCTCCCGAGCAAGGAGAGGGTTGACAAAGAGGTTGGTGGATATCGCGCGGCAATAGTCTACATGCTCGTCGTACATGAACGTCAGTAGGTGTCGGATTTCAAGGTGACAGCGGTTGATCTCCTGGTGTGTGTGCTTAACATTGAAATAGAGCCGTGTTGCTTCCCGATGAGCTGGCTGTACTCACTTGAATTGACGCACGTCTTATTGTGCATCTCGCAACAAGTCGAATTCACCTGGGAGCAGTGAGTCCAACAACCGGTGAGCAAACCATACATACCCACCAAGAGATACCATGCTAATGAGCTCTGTCCATGGAGGCTTTGGGCGTGGGGGGTCAAGGCGAACAGCTTGCCTGTTATACTCCTCGAGAGCCTTGCGAACAGCTTCTGCTCGGGTGCGTAGAGCCTTGCCAATTTTCTCACGCAGCTTGTACCCTAGGTAACGTACAATTACAACCAGTCGCGAGAGAGTACAGGCACATACCTAGACCACTCATGCCAAGCTTCGACAGCTCGAGCAGGCGTTGAATGACAATTCGCTTGAGATTATCTAAGGCGAGACGATATTTACGCAAGACCTGCTCCTTGACGGCGTCCTTGTAGCACTGATCCTCGGGCGTCCATCGCTTGTCAACGTCTGACTCCTTTTCGAGCAACTCCACGTCAGTTTCAGCACGCTCAAGTCTCGTCCAGGCATGGCGGTGATGGTTCTTAATTGCAGTAATTGCTCCACCGCGCAAGTTGCCATGTTGGATGTTGTATTCCAGGCTGTCGTACGCAGCGCTGGCCTGCGCGGCCTGTGCTCTAGTGCGGGTGAGAATGTGTCACACTACAGCGAACAAGGCGGGCTACCTTGCATTCTCAAGCGTCTGCAGCACTTCAAAATACTCCAAATGCAGGCTGAGCTGGCGCGGCTCTGCCTTGAGACCCTTGAGGTACTCTCGCTCTTGATCAATGTAGCCTTCGAAATCCGCCGACGAGACTCGAAGCTCCTTCAACAGGACCTCCAATGCATGCCCGTCTTCATGCAAGATCTTTAAAGACTGTCAGTAGTTGTCGTAGATGAATTTTGCTGTTGTATCGACAGATAAGCATGTAATCTTTGGAGCGGATCGGACATCAAATGTACAGCTATCAACATGCTTATCTTTGGAGCGGTGCGCGACATGCGTTTCTATGGCCTGCGCCCGGTGGAACCCAGTAGCCAGCCGTGTACCTGACGCCAGTTGGTTTGAGTCGCTAAATGCTCGCTCGCTGCCCTCGAAATCTTCTTTCCCTGTGCCATTGACATACATAGGATGCCACGAGAGCTGACAAAGCCGGTTGTGTGCGTGACCATGGAAGGCTGGAACGACGAGGCGCAGCTCTTGCTTGCGTGCACGTTCACCTAAGCTGCTGCTCATAACAGTTGTATGAAGGTCACATCCTACGTCGTACCCGAGACCGATCTGCTTCCCGTGAACACTGAGCAACCAATCTATCACGGCAAGGGGATACTTCCGCCTACAAGAAATAGCTGAGGTCAGTTCGAATACACAATATAATGGTACCATACAGTTCTCCACTCCGAATCATGTCACATGCTAGCAGAAGGTGTCCGTGCCTGCAATAGCATGCGAATATCCCAGAGACTCGAAAAAGCGCGAACATTTTTTTGCGCTCGTCAGGAGCAGCACTGCGCCAACGCTGAACACAGTCCGCATTCAGTTCCAACGTCAATTGGTTTTCTTGAAGCTCTTCTACGTCAGGGTCAACTGGTGGACCCTGGAAATGCAGTCAGCATGTGTGATCAACACTTGAACCTTCTTCTTACCTTTGCAGATTTATGTTCGTTCTTGAAGCGGTCAACATCCTCAGGTGAGATCCAAAAGTCAGCACGACGAGTGCGCTCATCGATTCGAGTGGTTCCAGATTGGAACGCCGAGTCGACCAGCTTGAGAGATGAGTTTCCGTCCATTGTGCACAGCATTGACAGTGCCATCTCAGGCTCGTTCTCGAGTAAATACATGCACGAAGGACAGATATTCTTCAGTCTCCAATCAGGCTCATCACGGCGAAGCGCTGTGTTGACACGCTTGTTCACTTGGTGCAGAATCTCAAGGTACACATCATAGACTTGAGAAAATTCATCCACTAAGGCCCGCCAGAAAGGAAACTGCAATGCTATGAGTAAAGCATTAAACTGCTGACAATAGATATAACTACCCCGTGCAGATGGCACAAAGCCTTGACTTGAGCGTATACACTAAGCTTGGGGCATACACGATGAAGCTGCCGGTATGCTTTGAGAAGTCGAAATCCTGTCGCTATGGTAGGGTTCAATGGAGCCGTCCCGAGGTAGCCGTGCTTTGCCAGAAGCACATTTGGATGCGCGCCATCTCCGCGTACAGGAAAGCGACGTGTAAAGGTATCTATAAGGTGTAAATATACACGTCAGAGGTACAGGCAGATATAACTTACCAAAGAAGTTGACCACACGCACTTCAATATTGCAGTCGTCGCTTGCGCCAGCGAGCTTGATGGGATTGCCCCGGTCACGCCAGGTAAGATATGCATCGACTAACAGATCCATCTGCTCCATCCATGCAGTGTTTCTAAGATGAGTTCGGTCGTGTCGGGTCCTGGGGTCATGTCTTCGCCTGCAGAGTGCCCTGTTGAAATTTGTCGGAGCGGGGAGAGAAGGGCACGCACGGCTTGAAGTTCAACTTCTGTAGAATCTCCTCGCAAAGCTCCACCTCACTGCCCGCACCACTCGTCATGTCTCCCTCATCACCGACTGCAGGAATAGGGAAAAAAAAACGAAATCTTCTGGTGCTGCACTTAGATCTTCAGAGCGGCCGGCGTTGTGGATGAAGTCGCGCTGCGTTTGATTGAATGCTGCAGCGGGAGATTATGAGCTGAGCTAGTATATGTATATGTGCTCTGAGAGCTCACAGCTATACTCCTGTCGGAATATGGCATTGGCTCGTGCTGCCTGTGCCGTAGTAGGGTTGAGAGACTGCCGCTGCCGTTTTGCACCACGGCCATAACGAACATTGACGGAGCCTGAAAGCGCACCTCTGCGCTTAGACATCAAGGTGTAAAAATAGCTAGAGATACATAAGGTAAGAGATGGAAGGAGGGCACTGCAGGAGAGACGACTCAGGGGATAGCGCCGAGATAGCGCCGAGCTCTGTTCAACAAGGTCAGATGATTCGTCAAGCGATTGATGCGGGAAGTCACCGGAATAGGCAAGGAAGAGGGGACGGTGCGGGAAGGGCGGCCGGGGATCACCAGAATAGCAAGGGGCGGGATGGGAGCTGGCGTCAGGAGCACGGCCACGGGAGGTGCCAGGGCGGCTAGTCGCTTGGGCGGGATATCCTGAGGTCACTTTCGACGGGCAGGCAAAACAGCCAGTTTCACCTCAGATCTGAGGCCTGAGGGCTTATCACATCAGATCATCACCTCTAATCTGAAGCAGACTGTGGGCTCGATAGGTGGCGACAAAGTGGAGTGCTTGGCCTTCATCGAAGGCAACGCCTTCGTGAGCGCGTCGGCGACCATGTCCTCCGTAGGGCAGTAAGTGACAATGATATTGCCGTGCTCGGTGTGATACCAGATGAATTGGTACCGGATATCGAGATGCTTCGTGCGTGTGTGGTAACGGTCGTCCTTAGCCAAAGCGATCGCGCTCTGGTTGTCTGAGTAGACGATCGTTGGGTCCAGCGGCATACGCCAGACCTCGTGCAGGTAGTTCCGCAACCAGAGAGCTTCTTTCGTGGGCGTGCACGAGAGTGACATATTCGGCCTCCGAAGTCAATTGCGCAACAATTTCCTGGCGTTTAGATGACCGAGAAACGGCGCCGCCGATAAGAAATGCGTGGCCGGAAATGGCTTGGCGTCCTTTGGTTGACATCACTGTGCGGTCCAGGAGGCGTGAAATTCACCTGGTCCAAACGCGCTAAATTTGAGGCTCAAACGTGTGAATAAACCCTGCTTACCGGTGTGCATCTCCAGTTCTCCGGGTTAAAGCATGCAAGCAAAAATCTCCTCACAAATCGAACGTTTCAACTGGTGTGTTCCCCAGGCAGCGTCTATGCGTACAAAAGCTGGGTACCGCAATTTTGCTGCCATCCCATGTGTATTTCTTGGGTGTTCAGGCTAAAATAGGCTAGACAGCCCCTACCATCCAGTAAAAACCATAATAATTGAGATTGGCTATTGTACATTATTATCGGGATCAACATGGCAGAGTAGAAGCAGTGTGGAGCATAGGTGCAACATGGAGGTGATTCCAGTGATGTGGATCATCAAGAGAGATCATCTTCATAAATCTGTTGACACACCTGGTGGCAGACAGTCTGATGACAGCGCTGCACAGAGCATGCTTGAACACACTGTATGTGAGTCACAAGACTGTTTAGGTGTCAAGATCATAGTTAGCAGAGTATACATGTGATAATACCAATGTGCTTACCATTCTCAACACCACTGTCGAGCACCAGATGTATGCCGCGTCATGTCTCCTTACAAGTAACCCTCCGTCTCGAGTTTTACAAATGTAGTCTCCTGATTAAACACAGATTATGTGCTTGTTGAGTACCTACTACCAGAGAGAGAAGGCGCGGGAACGGCTTACCAGGTGTATACTAGTAGTTTATGGTATTCGCAGGAGGGCCTGGGTGGGGGGCATTGTCAAACAAGAGTTGCAGAGGGAAGACAGAGGCACAGTACCTTGCATGACTCACAAATAGGAAGACTGAGAAAAAGTCTACATGACGATGATGGAGTGCAGAGTCAAGTTCGAACGGAACGCGCGTCGCAAGTCTGGAGGCAAGCTCAACAAGCGTGCACGCACGTCATGCCTTGTCCCGCAGATTTTCTCCCGACGACGAGACCAGGTGGGTTTCCACAGAAATTGTGTGTATGTTTACAGCACTCTGGTTATAGTACTCTTATTGGGTGTCCTGGGCAAAACCGCTGGTTGCGCACTTTCACCATGTCCAGCTCGGTTTCCAGGCTAATTTGCAAAAATCACTGGGCGCTCTGGCAAAATTTGGGGGTTCCTAACCTTCCAGTGCATACCGTCCGCATCAGAGTAACCCACCAGGGGCTCTCTGTCGTCGCCGCAGAGCGTGAGAGAAAGGTTGCGCGTGCCCTTCAGGTAAGCATAGATGAGCCGCAGCGCAAGCCAATGCTTCATACCCGGGTTCAAGTTCTCCGAGTACCGCGCGAGCTGCGAGACCGCATACGAAATGTCCGGGCGAGTAGAGATCGCCGCGTACATCAGCGCACTGAGGGCCTGAAAATACTGTTTGTGGCGCATAGCCGCAATCTCATCCGGGGTGGTCACGCAGTCTTCCTTCGACAACTGCAGGTGAGGGTCCATCGGCGCAGCAAGTGGCTTAATGTCCTCGAAGCCGTAGCGGCTCAGGATCTGGTTAATGTAAGCGCGCTGCGAGAACGAAATCGTACGCTTGTCAAGATCCCCCGAGATCTCAATGCCTAGGAGCCAATGGAGGTCTTGCAAAGGTGTCGCCTCCACATGCTCGCAGATCTTGCCGGCCATGAGTTCCAGTGTGTTCTGGTCTGATGCAATGAGGGCCAAATCGTCGACATAGGACAAGATGATAGCGATGTGGGCATCAGGTAGGTGACGATAGAAGACCGCGTGGTTGTGTTCAGAACGAATGAGTCCGACGTTCACAATGATTTCGCGCAAGACAAGCGCCCATTGTCGACCGGCCTGCTTGAGACCATACAGAGCAACCTTGAGACGGAGCTTTTGGCCAGGCTTGATGCCTTTGAGCTTGATCCATGCCGGAGGCTTGAGGTAGATAACCTCGTCTTCCTTGAGTCGACCGTAGAGGAAAGCAGACTTGACTCGGATGTTCATCTGACCGGCACGGTAACCACATCGTGCGGCCAGGGCAGCGTTCGCGCGGTGCAAATCCATCTTCGCAACGGGGGAAAAAGTGTTGTCGGCGAAGAATTTGATGCCTTCGACCTGCATGAAGCCTTGACCGACAAGTCGTGCACGGTAGCCAGTGATTTGGCTTGAGGTGTCGCGCTTCGTCCGGAGCTGATTCAGTTCGGCGGCCTAGACACGCGAACTAGTTATACCTAAGGCTCCAACCTTTTTGTTTGTTTACTGTGTATAAACGTTTATTACCGTTTACCATTTCCGTGTGTGTAAAAAAGTCTTGTAAACTCGGTGTAAATGTTTATACACAGTAAACAAACAGTTTCTTCTTGTCAACTGTAGAAGGTCCTATTGTTATACATTTGCAGTCTTGCTAACAGATTTGACCTGTGGTGAGCTGAAGAGTGTGCCTCACCACTCGTGCATTATCCTCGGGCAGCCTCTTTGGACTCCCGAGGCACGGCGGCTGCATCGAGCGCCAGCTGCACTGTGGCTGCCGCGCATATAGTCGCGACTCACTCCAGAGATACGACAGCGGTCATGCCAATAAAACCCATGCTGAGCATTGTCCAGAGGTGAGTATTACAGAGATTGAAATACTGTGTATGTGTTGACTGCTCCACTACATCCAATCTACTATAGACAACTTGAAGCTAGCCTGCAAGAGTGGTGTTATCCTGGCGCAGCATGCCACAAGCCTAGGTTTTGTTCAAGAGGGAGGAATAATGGTTCTGTCTTACTCATGGATGGCATGACGCAAGGGATAAGTGATGGTTGACCCTGGAAAAGACACGCTACCGAAGTCTGCACTCATGCAGCAGCTTTCTCTAGGTCACTTCTCAAAGCTTAACGTGAGTATTGTACCTGTACGACCAGTCCGTCGGCGGGTGTGACAAGTGACGGTCGAACACCAGTCTGGCGGGGCGGCGAGTTTAACCGTGACCTGTGACACCGGTCAAGAATGCGATGGTCAAACGGTGGCAGCGGCCCAGGTGTGACCCAACAGAGCAGCAACACGGACAGGAACAGTAATAGCGCTACGGAAAGCGCATGTAGGTGTCTTCTTGTAATTTTTGCACTGCAGGCCCGAAAATATCAAATATTGGTTTTAGCAGAAAAAAAATGTGGAAAGCGGCGGCACCCCTTGTGACGACGTAACCGCCGCTCTTGAGAGCGGCGGTCGGGAGCTATGTGACACGTGATGCGCTGGACTAATTGCACAGGTACAGTATACATTGTACAACCACGAGAGTACCAAGCTGAGATTTGCACCAGTCGCTAGCCCACTACCTGACGGCGATGATGGGATGCGCCGACCTCCTGAATCAAGAGTCAATCTCACATGCTTCCAACAAAGCTAGCTCCGCGGACACCTCTGTCACCGAGTCTGCCCTCGGGTACTATGCTACCTCGCGATGCTACCTTCACTGATTGGAACTTTTCGCGCGCCTTCAACGCTCTGCCACGCTGGGCCCGTTGAGGATATTGCTATGATATCTTGATTCTTGGGTGGGAAGTTGTGGCTTTGTCTTCTCGTGCATTAAGCGAGCGCCTCCGCATACATCGCGGCCGCGCCGCTATAGCATCAGCTTTTGTGCCCTCCTTTTCAGGCTCAAACCAGCACAGAAGGTATTTGTGTCAAGCTATAGGCTTGCACAGTTTTGTCAGAAGCTATTCTGGCACGATTAAACAAATACCTGTGCCAACTGTTTGTTTACTGTTTTTAAATTGTTTATAAATGTTTAGAACCGTTTACTGTGTGTTTACCAAAAAGATTTACACGTAAACTAAACGGTTGGAGCCTTAGTTACACCGGACTAGCCACTCAGAAGCGCCCATGAGTGGCTAAGACACTGA